CCAGGGCACTTGATGGCTAGTACAGTGCAGATTCTGCTGTTGTGGGTCTGGGCGGTGGGGATGAGCTCCTGCCCAATTAGTAAGCCCCTGCAGCGGCTGGTCTGAGGACCCTTCATAGCAGGGTGTGGACTAGTGATTCTCAGTTATTTTGGTCTCAGCAATTCCTTACAGTCTTAAAAATTACTAAGAACCACCCAAAGAAACTTTTCTGTTCAATTAACTAATGGTTTGCTATATTAGATTCAAATAGAAAAATAAAAAATTAAGAGCACACAAACACTGATGACACCACTGTATGCCACACGGCCTCTGGAAGATTCTGCCTTGTCCTTGTGCGAGGACAGGAGAAAGGGAGCCAGGGCCGTTGAAGTTTACCATGCAGTCGTGTTGATGCTGACTCCAGGACCACTATTCGAGAACAACTGGCCTAGAAGAGCTTGCTCCTGGCTCGAGACTGCCTGCTCGATCAGGAAACTCAACGGCTTGAGCAAAATGGGGAGGATTTGAAAAGCTGCTGGGTCCTGCTTCCAATCTGAGCAGTCTTGGAAGAGCCAAGCCATAAGAAGAAGGGCAAGAAGCATCAGGGATGTGCAGCCAGGGAGTGGTGAGGCGAGGAGACTGCTGCTCGCCCACGCGTCCCTCTCCCACTTTCCATAGGCTTGCTTTCTTGCTGCACTGTGCGTATGGCCCCAGGGCTCCTGAATTTACGATCCTCATAGTTCAAGTGGCTTGTACTAAACCAGGCTCACTGATTCCCAGTTCTAAGTCCCTCAGAGGTTGGGCCTGATTGGCTAAGCTTGGAGGTCGAATTGGATCGGTTCACTCAACAGGTGACTCCTCCAAGTCAGCCCATAAGCTGTGGCCAGAGGGCAGGGCCATGTGGCATACCTTGGCTACCTTGGCCAGCAGTGTACGCGAATGGGAGAGGAGGTGGGGGTGGGGAGTGGTGAGGGTCGACTTCACAGGTTCCTGTAACAGTTTGGAAAACTAGGTCCTCTCGCTTGTATTGGTTCTCTGCCCAGACAAGCTGTGACCCATCTCAGAACTTATTTCACCAAAAGCCAAATAGGAATAGTAACACAATTGGTCTCACTGATGGGGTAATTGCAGGAGAGTGAATGGAACTAATATATATGAGCTCTATAGATTTTGCATATTGCTATGGTAAGTGTTAGGGATTCATTATAAAGGACAAAATCTTTGTCCTCAAGGATGTTAGGATTAAACTGGGGAGAAGAGGCTAAGACTGTGGTACCAGGAGAAAGCGGCAAGCGTCTGAACATGCGCCAACCAAATGCAACAAGAGTCCGCACGAGACAGACCAGTGAGGGCTGGGAGGGAAAATGCTTTGTCAGGTGCTTCCTGTGGACATGACGTGGTCCCCTGCGGCTTCACCACTTGGCTGTAAGTCTCAGCAGTCCTGCTGGGCAGGTGCCGCTGGGCCCATCTTGTGGACAGCACTGAAGTGTAGAGAAGCGGCTTGCCTAAGACATGCAATGAGTGTGTGGCTAGACTTGGACTGAGTGTCTCTGAGACTTTATGTCTTGAAATTCAACCCCTTTTGTGAAATATCGAGAGGGTGGGAAGTTAGTTTGGCTGTGGTGTTTGGAGACAGGGCTTTGGGAGGTCATTGGCATTTGATAAGATTGTGAGGCTGGAGCCCTGTGGTGGAGTCCTGGTGGCTGTGGAAGAGGGAGAGACTGAAGAGGCACACGCACATGTACGCTGTCTTTGCCACTTGGAGACTCTGCCAGTCCCCAGACCTTGCACCTCCAGAGTATGAGCCAAAATTAACTTCTATCTTTATGATAAAGTAGCCCAACTCGGACATTTTTGTCTTAGTAATATAAAACTGACTAATACAGCTGGTGTGCAAACTTATGTCTGTCTGACTTGAAGGTGATGTTCTTTTTACTCTTCTGTGTTTGACAGGAAGATCTTTGGAGGAGTGAGATGCTAGCAGAGCTGAAGCATATAGATGGGGTGTGCATGGGCAGGGGAGGGGCTAGCCACGACACAGCCTCAGGAATGCAGAGACACAGCTGTCCCTTCAGCCTGGGGTGGGGGGCATTGAAGGAGCAAGGGCAAGCTGGCTGCCCCTGGGTGGGAAAGTGCGTCACAGTGACAGTGCAAGAATGTGTGAAGGAACGAATGGCCATAGACTTCCGCCCCATCCCTTTTGCTCAGTGGCCTGGCAGCCTGCCACTGGATTGGCTGGGGCACTGTGGCTCTGGAGCCCCAGCTGGCGGGGTCTGTGGACTCTGCAGGGCTCAGTTAAGGAGCTCCTGGATTAGGGTGCTGAGCAGGGAGGAAACGCAAAGCTTGAGATGGCCTTTGCAGGAAGACACACGAGCACTGGGATACAGAGGCTGCAGAAGGCCCAAGGTGACTGGCTCACTGCCTGTCCGCCTGCCCGCTGTGTATTTAGCAAATGTTTCAAGGCTGTTTATGTGGCTGGCCGGTACTGTGCCTGGTTCCGAGAATACTGGTCCAAAGAGATGGCTGCCCACCTCACTGGGGGCAAACAGAAAATCAGTAAGCAAATCAACACATGTGTACTACAGTGGCAGTCGGTGCTAAGTGCGGTGAGAAGATGCAGAGCAGGGCTGAGGAAGAGAACAGAGGAGAGGGCAGGAGTGGGTGTCAGTGGTCAGAGGGCTTCTTGGGGGAGGCGGCAACGGTGCAGGACAAGCTATACTCAAGTGACCTCAAAGGCCCGATAGCCATGATCCTGTACTGCAGCTGGGGAAACAGGCATGGGCATGGGGGAGCATGTATCTGTCATGTGGCCAGCTCTGTGGTGGGGAATGAAATGCAGCTGTCTGTGCGCCTCCCTCGCCTGCTGTCCTCGCAGCGCCCCAACCCTCATGCCTCAGCTCGGGGACACCGCCTGCCTCCTCTCCCTGGAGATATGTCTTCCCATGGAGCCCTCTCCACGGCTGCTGCAACCTCATCATTCTGCTTGACTTGCTTCCACCTGCTTAGAGACGGCAGTGACAGGGCTGTCCCCAGCTTCTTGAGAGGGCGAGCAGGGGCCGAGGGTGGCTAAGGGTGACCATCCTGGGCTTCATGCACTTGAGGCCTGTCAGAGCTGTGGGTGACTGCCAGTGTCTGTAGCTCCCTCTTGGGGGGTCAACTCGGAGTAATGAGGGCTGGGGGCAGTTGGCACTGCTGCCTGTGGGTGTGCAGGGTGGGGGAGGTGCAGCCAGAGGAGGGAGACTCTTTTTTATTTTTTAAAAATTTTATTTATTTATTTATTTATGTGTGTGTGTGTGTGTGTGTGTGTGTGTGTGTGTGTGGCCAGCTCAGCCCACCAGGGGGCGGGGCTGGCTGGCATCAGGTGTTTGGGGATTGAACCGCAGTCCCTGTGCTTTGCCAACCTTGTTCTAAGTAGGTGCTTTAGACCACTGAGCCATCTCACCAGCCCCATCTAATTTATTTTGGAGGTGCGCTCAGGCAGTGGCAAACATGGCCATGTGGCAGGTGGGCTGGATTGTGAAGCATGTGCTTTGTGATGTGCGAGTGCTGCGGGCCTGGGGGACACGGCTCTTTCAACTGTGTGGTCTCCATGGAGGTACATGCTCTTGTGAGTATGTGTGTGTGTGTGTGTGTGTGTGTGTGTGTGTGTGTGTGTGAGAGGTTTCCAAGTCTCTCCACTATGAAGGTTCCAGTGAAGTGTGTGTGCATGTGCACGTGTGTGTGAGTACACATGGGAGCACCCACGCCTTGCCATCGTGAAGTCCCCAAGACTACTTCTCTAGGCCAGGCCCAGGACCTGCCTCTTTTCCCCGGCACCCCGGGGTGCTGCTATGTCTTATCCTCGCCTGAGGCCCCCTTCTCTCTCCCCAAAGATCCCCAGCTGGCCCTTTCCTTGACTGGCAATTGACTGCTATTGGTTATGACTTGGAGGAGGCCAGGGAGCCACATATGTGGCCAGTGTGCAACTTAGAAGGCTTGAAAAATAAACCTTCCTGAGCACTGGGGCCACGGTGCTGCCGGCCAGCTCTTGGCTGGTGTCTTGGTCCTAAACTCCCCTTCCAAGCCCCTGCTGCCCCTGTACCCCACTGACCCTTCCTGGGAGAAGCACACAGCGTGGGGCACGGGGGCTGGCCCAGGAGACCATGAGAGGCAAGGGTGCTGCTGCAGGCTGGCAGCAGACCAGCGCTCCTAGAAGGGGCATGGGGCGTTCTCCATGCCTGCTCTTGTGCCTGGGGCCGGGGACCAGGCCTGGCTACTTCTCGAGACCTATGGGGGTTGGCACTATAGCCTAGGAACCTGGGCTGACAGTTGCCACTGAATCTCCTGCCTTGCCAGGACTTGCTTCTAAAAGGATCAGTTGATCAGCAGGAAGGGCAGAATTGACGTCCGTGCTATCAACAGAGTTGGGGGAGGAGGACTTAGGTTGTGGGCTTGGGAGACATACAGACACCCTTGTTCTCTTTTGCAGTATTGGGGGCTGAGCTACAGCCCCAGGCCCTTTTCTCAAACTTCTGATTTTGAGGTAGGGTCTTGCAGAGTCACCCAGTTGCCCAGGCTGGGCTCGATCTTTGCTGTTCATGCCTCAGCCTCCCAGGTCGTGGGGATTATAGGCGTGCAGCACCACGTATGGCTAGACTTGAGTGTCCAGCACTATTGCCCTGAGTTGTGCCCTGGCTTTGCACTTAGAGGCTGAATGACATTGCCCAAGATTTTGGACCTCCTTTTGCCTTAGTTTCCTAACCTGTGAAATGGAGACCATAGCACTGCCTTCTTTTGGGGGCTGTTTTGACGACTTAATGAGAAGGGCCCAGGTGAGAAGCTGAATGATTTGGGCTGGCCACCTACCTCCTTGGGCTTCAGTTTCCTCACCTGTAAAATGGGCCTGGTGTTGGTTCAAGGGCGGTGCCTTAGATGGCATGCAGAGATGCAAGGAAAGTGGATAGGGCTGTGTGGGCTGCTTGCTGAGGGCCTGTAGGAATGACCGTCATAACAAACATCCCCAAACCCAAATGTCTCCCCAGGCTCGTGGCTCTGCAGGTGGCAGGAGGAGGCACGACGCCGCCTCTCAGGAAGATCACGACAAACCTTACGTCTGCGACAGTAAGTACGGGCCCCTCCATCCTGTCCTTCCCTGCTTGCTGGTTGCCAGCCCACCAGCTCCCAGCTTGTACCCTGGCTTGCCTGCCCGCACCTCCACTGGGGGTCACTCCTGCTCCTGCTGCCGCTGCAGCAGGGCTGTGTGCATGGAGGGGAGCCTGTCGGGAAGCTCCTCTCTGGGTTTGTGCTCCTGCCTGGCAGGGCCGCCGCCCTGGCTCTCCCTGGCTTCTCTCCTTCACTGTCCCCGTCTCGTTTGAAGATTCATTCTCTAGGTCTTCTCCTACTTCAGAGAGTTACAAACAAAAGCGTAACTCAAGACTGTCCAACAGAGGTGCTCACTCCTGTGGCTCTCCATTTGTTTCCCTTTAATTTCCTCTCGCTCTCTCTCCTGTCCTAGGTAGGGCAGGTTATGAATCTTTCTGTGACAATGACTTCCTTTGATAAATGGCCCTCCATCGTCTCCAGGCTTTCTTGCTTGCTTCCAAGACATCTGGCTGCCTGGCTTCTGGCTGGAGTCTGCAGATAGCGCTAGGGTGGGCCGAGGGACAGGAGTGGCCGGGAGTCCTGGCCCAGCTGGACCTCCAGCAGCAGGAGGCAGGACTGCAGTGACAGCAGGCAAGGCCTTTGCCTTTCCAGTTGCCAGCACCTGGGTGGCGGCTTTGAGATCCTTACCCTGGTTAACTTTTTACTACATCCGGTGGTGTTGGCTCGTCCCATGGCAAGGGTGCCCCAAGACCTTCTCCTGACGATCTTCCCTTCCTGACTTCCTTTCCCTCATTTGGTGGCTCATTGCACCATGCAGATGGCATTCCTGAGGCGACCCCTGCAGGTAACATCTCCAGGACCAGGAGGGAGCAGGGGACGGGGCCAGGTGCTTTGGGGCAATGCCAGGAGATGCCTGCTTGGCCTGGGCCCTGGGCCCTGGATGGGATTCCGATTGGTTCTGCCATGGAGACCACCAAGGAGTGCAAGCCCTTGGGACACTGCTCTCAGCGGTGGGCTAGGCCGGATTAAAGCACCCACTTAGGCAGATGCAGCGGCCTTGGTTTGATCCCAGGCATGCCATGCCAGCCCCATCCCCGGGTGCACTGAGACAGCGATTGAGACTGGGCTGGGCGTGTTGGCACGCTCCTGTAATCCCAGCACTTTGGAGGCTGAAAACAGAAGGATCACTACGAGTCTGGTGTACATAGTGAGACCTGTAGACTCTTACTAAAATACAAAAAAAAAAAAAAAAAAAAGAAGAAAGAAAGAAAGAAAAAATGCCAACAGCAGTTTTGCACCTGAGGATTGCTGCGCCAGTCCTCTTCTCAAGAGCTTTCATGTGTATGTGATTTGCTGCTGTCTTCGGTGGCAGGGCCGGCTCCATGCCTTCGGCTGGATTCCTAGCCAGTCAAAGGCCCCTTAGTTCCCCCGCAGCTGTGTGCCCTCCCTCCCTCGCTCTTGCCCCTCCCTGCCCGTGGTCTCTCTCTTCCCGCCTTTGTCTCCGATCTGCCTCCCTGGGTGTTGTCTTCATGTGCGCCTTCCTGACCCCCCCCCCCAGCTCGGGCCCTCGGTGCTGTGTGCTGCTCCATCCCCTCTGCCCCAATCTCCTCTACCTGCCCGGTCCCCTGGCATGCTGCAGAGGCCGCTCGTGAAGCCGACAGCTGTCTTCCCGAGCCTTTGGGGCTGCCCCTTGCCTCTGCCCGCATGCGCACACGCACGCACCTACGCACGCACTCAGCCTCCCTCTTCCTCCCTCGGCAGAGCGAGGCCCGCTGCAGGCTGCCCTTCTCCTCTCTGGCTCGTAGGACGTTGTGTGGCAGTGCAGTGATTAATAGACTTTATTTTTATCTGGTGCCCTTCAGACATGGGGTCCTTTGGGATAGAAGTGACCTTTGGAGAGGTCGCGAGCCCCACCCCCACCCCTCGAGTGGGAAAGGGATGCTTTTAATAATCTCTAATGCATCCTGAGTAGAGAGGTGTCTGGTCGCCTTCTCCACTGTCCCCAGGGATGGTGTTACCATGAGCTGCCCTGTCCCCTCCCCCCATGGCTCCAGCTGTGCTTTGTATGATTGTTTCTCCTCCACAGAGGCCTCAAATGTTCTTTTCTAAAGGTCCCCCTGTCTTTTGTGGGTCTTTGTCCAATTATAGGCACATTCGGCATTTCGTGAGCTAGTCCTCGGAGTCTCCGTTGGCCTAGGCCCAGCCCCATAATCTCTGAGTTCCCTTTAGGGTCTGGGTTAGGCAGAGCCCTCCCGTTGAAGCAGCATCAAGGCCTGCGGCCCGGAGCAGCAAACGCTTTCCAGCGCAGGTCACGCCCCAGCTCAGCGCAGTGCACTGCGCCCCACCCGCACCAGTGCCAGGTGCCCCAGGTGCCCCAGGTGCCCCAGGGGCTTGCTTTCCCACTTCTGCACGCTTTCAGTTGTCCCTCTTCCTCCAAATCACTCTGCCTTTGGCCCTACTAGGTCTCGATAAATAGATACAATAAAGTGTTACTTCAATATACAAGATTCAATAAAGGCCAATTTAAAGACATTGCCCAGTAGTTAAATGCCATTCTCCACAGATTTGCTGTCCCTGCCATTTTTGTGTCATCTGTGGTTTGGTTGGCATAATTCCCACTCCCTCTTTAGAGTTATTTATGAAAATATTAGGTCACCTTGGACGCCAGCGCCTTTCTCTGGGTTGGTGTGGAGTTAGGAGGAGCCATTGTTCAGATGGGACTGTCTTTAACTCTTTCTGGAATGAGTTCTTGGGTGTGCCTTCCGGTTGTGTCAGTGGCCCAAGCTTTCTTTCACCATGGGTGGTAGCTGCTAACCCCGGGTGATAGTTTGCTTCTTGCCTTTCACTCAGCCATTGAATTTATTCCATCTCAGAAATGTTAAATCATCTGAATGCAATTTTTTTTACTTATTCTGTAGTGTGTGCGTGAACACTTTTCCAGCAAGTGACCAATCTCTTATTAATTACCTTGCAAATTTCCAAGCTAAAGAATTGAAGTTCTGCTTCTTTCTCACAGTCTCTTACCTCAGGAAACAGTGTTCATTACTCACAAGACAAAGCTACTGAACAGGAGTTTGGGGGAAGGGCTGCTGGTGTCGTCAAACTGTGGACCTGGATCGCTTGCCCAGGGATAACCCAGGCACTGGGCTAGTGCGGAGTCCTCGGCCTGGCATCCAGATCCCAGGAGGACAGCCAGGGGGCCTGCATCTCTGAGTGCCCCGTGGAGAATCCTTACCTGTCCTGGCGTTTGAGGACATGACAGCGCTTGGCCAGTCCCTGGCCAGCCCCTTTGTCATCTTCTGCTTTTTGCCTGGGAGTTCTTGATGCTTGTGGCAGCTTTTGTTTCTGGCTTGCATCATGGCTTCAGTTGGGCTCTTTGGGGTCCTTCTTCACTCGTTCTTTGAACAACTGTAGAACTTGGCCTTCTAATATGAAAGTCAGCAATCCTGTGCTTGATTTGAATTTATTCAGCAGCTTGACATCCTGGGAGCATTGTTAACCTATTTCCCAGCTGGGATGATGAGTAGGGACAGGCCTGTGGAAGGAACCCGAGCCTCTGGGCTTGGGGAGGCTGCAGACACCCTGGCAGAGCTTGCCTCTCCTCTTTCTACCTCTGCAGCCCCGAGTTGCAGCTCTGTGGGCAGCTCCAGGCCAACTCCTCTGAGAGGCCCACTTTCCATCTTCGTCCCTCAAGGAACATGATGGAAGACTATGGTGGTCTTGGGGTGCTCCTCAGGGAGAACACTGTGTCTTCATGCCCTGGAACTCAGGGAGGAGCACAGAAGCGTCTACGCCTCTGCTGGATACAGTGGGAGCTGTTTTCACCCTCTAGTTATTTTCTGAACAATAGCAACAACTTCTATCAATGGGCGCATACTCTGTGCAGAGGGCTTTGCTTAGCATTCTGCCTAGATTGTTCCTGTAAACATCCACACTAATCTTGTACATGGGGGACAGTGAACTTCATTTCACTGTGGAGCCGAGGACTCAGAGCCGAGGGCACTAGTCTGCAGTCACACGGCTGGTTACCGCTAACTCTGGGATGTCAATCCCAGTTTCCACAGCTCTGGAGCCCACACACCCTAGATCATGTCGCAGACAAACCACTGGTTCAGTGTGCCCTCCTATCCTGGAGTTCTCCTAAGGGCTGAGCGAAACATGTTTTAAAAATTAATTAGTGAGCACAAACACCTTATTTATTAGGGGAAGCCCTGTCCACTGGTGACATACCTTCTAAGTGTCAGTTTGGGGAGCTTGAGCAGGTGGTAATTATCACACAAGTGGACTAGAACGAATTTTAAATTTTGAGCCTCTTAGTCTATTGGGCTGGGGAGATAGATAGCTCAGTGGTCTCAGCACCTGCCTGGCAAGTGCAAGGTCCTGAGTTTGATCTCCAGTACCACATGTGCCCACTGAGCTGGCCACCGAAATTGGGTGTGGTGGCATGTGCCTGTAATCCCAGCTCTGGGGAGGCTGAGCCGGGAGGATCACTACAAGTCTGAACTGCATATCGAGACCCTGTACCAATAACAACAACAGCAAAAAATTTAAGTCTATTAGAATCACCCATCCCTTCCCTAACTAGGGCATCAGGGTGAATTAGTGGCAAAAGCCAAACAGACATGACAGGCCCTCCTGGGACCCGACTCACCTCTGTGTCATGTCCGGTATTCACGCATCAGGAGGCGGGTCCCCACCTCAGGGCTAGCGCTGCCTCTGCTCCCTGTCACACCCACGCCACAGAAGTGTATTTTTGATTCACGGCCTGTGACTGAGAACATGACCATGCCACAGTTGTTTTCCTTTAGAAACCCAGTGGGGCCACAGCTACCTCTTGGGGACAGTGCCAGCGTAGGGTGTGGCAGTGTTTCTTGGGGCTCGGGGGCCTCCCTGATTTGCACTGCGGTCGCCTTCCTCCCAGGCAGCAGCAGCCTGCCTGGCAGACGGGACGGTCCAAGGAGCAGAGTTAGCAAGAGGCTGTGGCTGCCACGGGACGTGGGCCGGGGGCCCGAGGAGCT